GTTTCATCTAGAAACAAGAGTGGTCTTTTTTAGATTTAGTAATCACTCATACAACTGGGGATATCACTTCTACGGCTATCCTCCCACCGTAGACTGGTAGTGATCATTCCGTCTTGTCATTCATGGTTAGCGCTTCTGACACGTTGACCATCCGAGAGTACGCCGCAGCGACAGTTTGATCAACAGATATTAGCTCATCGATAGAACGATCATGATTTACATTTAACCAATTTTCTCAGATACGATTAAAGCCTTCCACATAGTCTCTCACTTACCTCTTAAACTAAAACTAGAACATTTGGGAAACCGTCAAGGGGTTATAAAATAAATAACTGATTTTCTAAATAATTAAAGGCGACGGCTATGAGTAAAAACGGTCTAAACAGTTTGAAAATCTGTGAAGAGTGAAATTCCTCAAGGTACAAACCTTAGACCCCTTTTTTCTGCATGTAAACGATATACCAACTGTGTAAAAGTCATGTTTTACTTTTCTGTGACATTCGTAAACCTATACAACGCATGACTGATAGAAAAATACTGGTGGAAAACATGAATTCGCTAGTTAGGTGGATGAAGAGGTAGATATTAGGAATGAATACTGAAAAGGTTTTAGCAACGTATATGTATAATTGCTATGACCTATATTCACTATAAACTAAGAGAGATGGTGTTATCTAAAGCAATGAATTGTAATGATCTAGTAGTCATACTTAGCAACGACCTCAGAATTAGCGATAACTGTAAGGCTACAACCGATAAAGATTTCAGGGCCTTATAAGCTATTTCTAAGTCATAGTCATTTTTATAAAAAAATATTCAGGTCGTTACATTCGATATTAATTAGACCGTAATGAGAACATCGGTTTAATGCAGCGAGTAAAACGCAGGCATGCCATAACTAGTACAGCAGTAAGAGACTGAAATGGCGAACGGTTATAAAGGTCTACCTTGTGAAGACAGAGTGAGAAACCATGAACTATTTCCACTATATTACTACATAATATTGGCCTACGGTATACCAAGCGATGAGTTGAGCATGAATATGCCTCATCTTGTCCTCCAATCTACAATCGATTATCTGGGAGGACATTTTAAGGAAGTTCAAAGATCGAGAGCAAATTTTCTACGACTGGGGCTCTGTTTCTCACACAAAGTATTGGATTAATAAAATTCTTTACCAGAACACGTCACTTCAGCATCTTATGTTGATTTAGTCAGAGCTAGTTTGGAATTTCACTTACTACAAGCTGCAAGGATTAATATGGGTTGCTTGATTTCTTATACGTATTACTAGTGCCTCATAACTGTCCGTCTAATGACTTCTGCAATGCTAAGGAATACTGGTGATTTTCCAAAACAACCTCTTAAGCACAGTCTGTACGAAAAAATTTGAAAGAATACCCAGACATGAAAAGCATGGTACAATTAACTGAATTTCAAGTTTAACTCTTATTGTTAACGGGTAATCAAGTCTTGTAATAGGTCAAAAACTTCAATGGTCTAACCTACTTACTCGAAATCGTCGGGTTGGACACTTCATGTATTCCAAAGGAATAAAAACAGCATATCACACTAAGTTATGAATACTTCTTTCACTTTGTTTTTACATATAAACATAAAAACTTGGCAGAGGATATTGGTTACTTGTTTTTAGTGGACACAGAAACTTGTAAGGCGACACCACTTTCTGTACTTTTCACAACAATTTGAACTACTTGGTGTAACCCACCAAAAGCCGTAGGTAGCATTAAACTAATCGACAAGAAGAACGTTTCGGGATACTTTCCAGCCGGCACGCGTTAAAGGCAACTGTAGCGGGCGAACACAGCCGTCTGTTATACATCACTGGCGTGGTTAGGAAAGTATGCTACCTCGTCGACACTGGTGCAGAAGTGAGAATTCTTCTAGCAAATTCTAACGACTGACTGCGTGAAGTAGTTTCGAACTTAGAGGCGGCAAACGGAAAACCGAACGCCACATATGGTAAGCGGCATGCTCACGTTAACACGGGTTTACGCAAACCCATACACTGGATCTTCGTTGTTGCAGATGGTTCTATGCCAGTCATTGGTATACACCTGCTAAAACATCATAATTTACCCATCGACACGCACTAACGGGGCCAGTAGACGGAAAAACTACTTCATCTGTTTGTGTAACTTCTTTTTCTGGTTGCAGATTATCCCCAGTCACAATTAAGCACACGATAGACCCATTCTATCAACCACTACTCGATAAGTATTCTGGATATACCAAACGCAACCGAAATAACCGTGTGTAACCAGCAACGTTACACATCACATCACGATTACAGGACCCCCTGTATTCTCTAAAGCACGACGACTAGCCCCCGAAAAGCTGAGGTTGGCGAAAAACGAGTTCGACCACATGATAGACTTAGGAATCATACGACCATCAAATAACCCATGAGCACCTCCGTTGCACATGGTCCCTAGAGAGGATAGCAACGATTGGCGTCCAACTGGTGACTATCGGCGATTGAATGCGAAAACCATTCCCGATAGCTAATCGTTGCCCAACATTTACGGCTTGATGGCTACCCTGAAAAGTACAACCGTTATTTCGAAAATCGATTTGGTTAAAGCGTATAACCAAATTCCTATGGCTGCTGACGACAATCCTAATACCTCTATCGCCGCACCTTTCGGTCCCTAAGAAATTTTGCGCATACCTTTTGGCTTAAGAAATGCTGCACAAACATTCCAGAGATCCGTCGATGACGTTTATCGAGTTCTCACTTTAATACATGAGTATGTTAATGACCGCTTGATTGCAAGTGCGGACAAAAAATCGCATCTACAGCATCTAGACCTTGTCTTCGAACGACTACTAAAGCACGGCATTCCTGTAAAGATTCAGAAATGTCAAATCGAAACTGACTCCTTAGATTTTCTTGGACACACTAATGATGCTCAAGGCATCCGAACCCTGAGAAGCAAAGTGGCGATCGTTCTGGATTATCCAGAACCAAAAGCAAGCAACTACGCACGTTTAACGCCCTTTTGAGTTTCTATAGACGGTTCATACCAAATTGTACGTCTCTTACAAGACATTTAACCGGCAGACTTCGAAGAAATGCGAAATGCATCAATTTGTACGATATCGCAAAAGAAATATTTTTCACAGTTTGGGAACTGATCGCCAAGGGAGCACTGATCGCACACCGGAATACCGAACCACCCATTAGTATTTCAGTAGACTCATCCGACTCGGCATCCAGAGAAGTCATGTAGCGATAAGTTAACCACACCTGACAACCTTTAGTATCCTTTTCCAGACAATTGCTAGACATTGAATCGATGTATAGCACTATCGCTAGGGAACTCCTAGCCATGTATTATACTGTACAATGCTTTCAACACTCTGTAGTGGGCCGGGAACTCACCTTGAAGTGGACAAGCTCCTGTATGAAATTCCAGAAATCTAAGGTGATTAGACGCAACAAATGTCCCTGAGGCTCATACAAAACTTTCGATGCTCACTTCGACAAGTTGGTAGGACCTCTACCAGATTCAAGTGGATACACCGATCACCTAACATGTGTAGGCCATTCCACTCGATGACCTATCAAGGTACCTATCAAGGACATTACTGCTGAAGCAGTGATCCGCGCCTTCGTCGGACGGTGGGTAGCGAAATCCGGCTACCCTTCAACTAGAATTATAGATCGTGGATGCTAATTCGGATATGGACTTTTCCCTTATCTTACTAGATGTTTTCACTGAAATCAGAAAGCCTCACTCTCACCTGCAAATGTCTCATAATCAACTGACGCTTTTCTGTTTATCTTACTCGGTATTCGCAAAGCAGTGAAAGTTGACATTGGATACACTTCCGGGAGAATTCGTGGATCCTCCATCTTCTTTAATGAATATAGATCTAAACTCCTACAAGAGCAGGCTTACGAACACAATGTGTTCAGTTAACTCTTTTTCCATTCTACTATAGTCAACTGATGTTCACGTTCAACCTGTCCTACGATTTGGCACACGCGGCATTTCTACGACCTCTCGAAACGGCATATGAAGGACCCTTCAAATTTCTTCAGCATGAACCTAAGTACTATATAATCGATAAAAACAGAACTAACGATAGCACCAGCATCGATCTGTAAATAAATCCCCAAAGTCAATAACTCTGTACTTCTTCCACATTTGATGTTGGCCGCATTAGCTTTAATAGACTCACCTAGCTGAAGGCGCATGATCATGCATCAGAGCCAGATCACGAGTGAGTACTCTGTGCTCAACTTCGTCGACAACCTCTAGCCAGCTAATATCAGTCACTTCTCGGTATATCGATTGCTTATTAAATATATCATCAAACCGCTTCGCATCCGATTTTACTGGGTTGGCACGTTTCGATTATAGGTGTTGCTGGTTAAGGTGTTGTCGAACTCCAAATACTTGTGGCATCTTTACACTTATGTACATACACGAATCTTTCGGAACGGAGGTAAACGTTAAACTACATGGGTGAACACAGTTTGAAACACAACTGTGATAATTAGAAGTATTCGAATAAATGTACTAACTAAGAATTCCCGAAGTAGGTAGGTAGAACTAAATGAGCACAAATGAACCCATCATTCATGTTATTCGTAGTGAGCGCGCAACCAAGTACAATTATTACAACAATTTAACTGACTGACAGCTAAATGCTGAGTAAGCAACACAACGAAGGACCTAGAAGATAAGAAAAAGAAATGTAAGAAGACGAGAAATTGATTTCCACGGTCACATGTTGAGGGAAAGCTTCCCGTTTTGTGTGCTTCAACTTCAAATCGAACGCATTCTTTGCCGAGTTCCTATAGTATGTTTCACTAGCTTTTTGAAAAGAACGACGAAAACACCAAGGCTGAGTAATACCTTACAACGGTTAGTATCTGATTGACAACCAATCTGAAAGTAACGTAACTGAACAAATAGGTGTTAAAAAGTCGAGTTGGATGCTGAACCGTGATCTCCACAACTTTTGTGGGAATATTTAATTAGGAGTTAAGTTTTCAAAGTGTTGTTTTGCTGATTACTCAAGGCGCAAATTCCAAGGGTGGCGGTTCTGGTAATTAGTATTTACTTTATTCCGAATTATAACATAAGTCGTCTGTAAATTCTTAGAGAGTTGGAAGTTTTCGTTCTTGCTAGTTTGTAGGCATACATCCTTATTAGCCTTCTTGCCAGTGGAATGCTACACGCTACAACGTATTCAGACGACTTGTATTAGACGACTCATTCGTGAATTTCTGACTTACATTATGAATTATATGCAAGTAACTCGGAATATGTAGTGCATTTTCTTTATCTCATGGGCTATTAACGATAACGGGTTATCGTTACTTACCAATCTTTTAGTGTTTTTTGAACCTTTATTATTTTCTCAGAAATATGAAATGCGAATACCTCAAGTTATGGGAACCTAATCATGCTCATTCTTATTTCCGTACAAAGTTGTTTTACTCAGGTTTAAGGAAGATTACAAACTCAGTTTCAAAGCACTCGTTTGTTTATCTTTTTACTAGTTATGGTGCATTGGTGTTTTCTCACGAAATTAACATCCACCACCTGTTATTCCTAGTATTTATTACTTTTAGGTGGTGTCTTATTGAGTCATACTTATCCACTTTAGGCTTTCGGATCCGTGGTTGTTTATTTTAACCTTCCAGCTCCTAAGGGTTCGGCTAATGTCCGTAACGGTCTAAGTGACTTTTTATTAGAAAAGTTAACCCAACTTAAAATGTAGCGCAGATATAGGTACTACATGCGCATTATATACTTTTAAAATATCTGTCATCACATGAGCTCGGATTTTTGATTCTTTTTGTCCTCATAGATCTTTTGCGCATCCATTTGTAGAGGTGTTTCGATGGCTAAAGTGTTTGACTTTCAATGGCTGTGAGCTGCTCTAACTCAATTCGGGCATCCCAATAATGTCACTAGGGCCAAAAAATTTGTATAACTTAAAGATAAGTGTATGGGTCCACGCATCAATAAGTTCCACCTAGCTCTGTTTACTCACGTTAGGAATCTGATTGTCTCATAACATAAAAACTATCCTCTCAATTATGGCCCTTTTACAAGTAATTTGGATTTGAAAGACTGATATTTATTTAGTTGCCAGCTGATCTGGGGGGGGGGTCTATCGACTTTATGCTAGTATTCAGCGTGGTAAAGATAGGTGTTACTTCACATAGAACACTGGCGGAACACCAAACATTATACCATAGGACCAACGGATTGCACGCAACCTGCCTTACTCTACTTTAGGATTGTCAGATCTGGAACTGTATATAAGGAATTTTATACAGGCGACAAGCATTTTAGCATATGGCAACTGGTTTGGTTGGTCATGTCGTGTACTTTGCATGGTACACCATGATTTGTTCAGATATGAGGTCTGGGTTAGACTAAAATTCATTTGAAAATTTGGTATAAGCAGCTACACTAAAACTTTACACACGTTCATAAGGTCACTTACGCCCATTATAAATCATTTTGTTTATATGCTTGTTAGATGCTTTTGATATTGTATCTGAGAGGCGATAAGATTAGATCACTCAAATTTCAACTACTGGTTTGCAGATTAGAACTCCAACATATCTCCTTTGGTTTAGGCGATTAAATCACGAACCATCAAAAAGGTCTATCTCAAATTTGAGTAGATAAAAGTGTTCCCGGTCCTTAGTAGCATTTATTTATTGGTAGACTATCGAAATAAGCGTTTGTTTACTATTGGAGATTCATAATACTACCAAGATGCTATCGAATCAGCTTTGCATCTGATGCTCAAAAAGATAAATAAGGCCATTTCCCCCATTTGCAGTACATATCACTGTTGCGATATGCATTATTTTCGTAAAGAAAACAATGTGATAACAGTCCAGATCACTTAGCTATTTATGGGGAGAATCCGTGTTGTTGATTATTAAAGTTGTTTTTGCATCACTAATTTATTACCAGCTTTTTTATCGGTTTACTTTATTGTTCAGCTCATGACGACTCTTGCTCCAAACAGTGTATACCAGACTCTATTTACTGGACAAAACCAAGGTTAGTTTGTAGTTCATTTTGTTGGTGTTGGTTCTCAATTCTCTGTTTTGCCAACATTATTTGCAATTTTACTTAGTGGCGTTATATATTGGATGTTTTATTCGGTTACATATGTGTGTCTGCACGAGATAGTAAACTCTTCAGTCTTGGGAATAAAAATTAGAAATTTCCGAATTTAAACTCATCCGATATTTCACCACTTATCTTTCTAGTTAGTCAGTCAATATAGGACCTGATACACATGTATCTATCCAAGTTTCTACACCTCATGTCAGCACAGCGAGAATGCAAATTAACGAGACAAAAAGCAAAGGAGAGGAAATATTATCGACTCCCATGAAAATCTAAACATAAAAGTATAGTTCAAAGGGAATAAAGGAGATCAAAGAACGAAAAGTTGGGTATGAGACTTCACCCAATATCTAGTATAAGATTGAGAATGAATGCGAATTCTCCCTTGCAATCAATTTTGAGCCATGTCATCCAATGATCCCAACTGTATATTGTAATTATTATTGGAATCCCAAGTAGGTATTCATTTTAAAAAGTTGCGTTCACTTTTATGAAGAAAGAAAAGAAAATTACAGTAGGATCGCCACTGGCTTTTATCCTGAATCATATGTGATGACGTCTCTAGCCACTGTGTTGCACCATCTCTAGGACCCCAACTATGGAGTTTTGAAGGACCATCAGAAGCCATTTCTGTACAGTGTTCTTTCATACCACGACACCATGCCATACATTGATCACCTCTCGGCTTTTTACAGCCTTGAAATCGTTTAGATAGGACAGGGTCTCCACCATACATGAGCGGCTGTATAAGAATAAGGGGGAATACATGTGACATAGTATAAAAGAGATAAAGAAGAATTTTATCATATTTTGGATTTGATTTGTCTGAATAAGCGTTGAAGTAAGAGTAATTTTTCCAGTAATAATCAGGGTTTTCCTACTCCCCTACATGGATCCTCTGTATCCACCGAACCGATTAAAGTTCCACTTTTCGTCCTCTCAGTTTCGTAAACAACACCCTGCCATGAGAAGGCAGCGAGTAGGACTTCCTTTGAAGTGGCTATACACGCGCGGTCTTATGAGAGCATTTCGAGAGGGAGAGCGGACTCTTCTTCACCCTCGACCTCACCAGGGCATTTGGAGGACTGATGGTGTTTCTTTATCTGTGCACTTCTAGTTTTTCCCTCTCTGTTAATTGAACCAGCATTTTAGATAGAGGTATACATTAGTTGCGCATACCTAATACATCCCAGCCACCTCGTTCGATATGAATCCACCACCACACTAACTGATTTACCGTCTCTGTGTAGTACCTTACAACCTCACTACTGGTCACTTGTTTGCTCCACGATGCATAAAAAACGGCTAAAATTTGGGGCAGAATTCTTCGAAGGGCAGTTTAACTGGCCTGCTGCTCCAGCAACATCGGTCGGACTGTCCTAACCTCCATGGCCGGTGACGACTGATCCACCAAATGAGGCGGAAGTCCGCAAGGAACTCCAACTCTTGAAGCGCTACAAACCACCGGGCTTATATGACTTGCCTCCGGCTCTTTTTACGGATGGTGGTGACTTTCTGGCTAAGGAACTGACTGTGTTGTTTACAAAAGTCTGGGAGCTAGAGAGTGTACCAACGTCATGGAATGAGTCGATAGTTTTCCCTATCTTTAAAAAGGGTTCACGTCATTCCTGTAACAACTATCGGAGGATAAATGTACTCCCGATTGTGTCCAAGCTATTGGCTTCCGTCATATTTCGTAGATTGTTCAAAACCCGAAAAAGATTGACTCGCGAGGAGCAGGCTGGCATTCATTCTGGTCGAGGATGTATTGATCATATCTTCGCTCTTCATCAAATGTAAGAATACCGCCATACTTATCACAAGCCAACAATCATAGTGTTTCTTGACATTAGGGCTGCTTTCGATTCGTTGGACAGAACTGTTCTCTGGGATTGTCTATTGAAGAAGGGTGTGCCTGAGAAGTTTATTAACATCCTAACGGCCCTATATACAAACACCTCAGGCAGAGTGAGGGCATACAACCACCTTTCTCCATTGTTCCATTCGAGCAGTGGGGTTAGGCAGGGTTGCCCAATTTCACCGTTCCTCTTCAACTTTGCCATCGATGACATTCTGGAAACAGCTCTGATGGATGTAAGTAATGGCGGTGTGGATCTGTTGCCTGGAGAAAGACTTCTCGACCTTGAGTATGCGGACGATATTGTCTTACTGTGCGATAATGCCCAAGGCATGCAATCCGCACTTAATCAGTTGGCAATCAGTGTCCGTAGGTATGGTATGTGCTTTGCACCTTCGAAGTGCAAAGTACTTCTACAAGACTGGCAGGATTCTAATCCTGTACTCACCCTGGGTGCTGAGCAGATCGAAGTAATCGAGAAGTTCGTGTATCTGGGTAGCTGCATAAGTGCTGGTGGTGGTGGCATGAGTGATGAGATCAATACACGTATAATGAAAGCCAGAGCGGCTTATGCCAATCTGGGCCATATTTGGCGCCTTCGTGATGTTAGTCTGGCTGTAGAAGGTCGGATCTACAACGCGTCGGTGAGAGCAGTTTTGCTCTATGCTTGTGAAACCTGACCTCTCCGAGTTGAGGACGTTAGACGACTCTCTATGTTCGATCATCGTTGTCTCCGAAGGATTGCTGACATCCATTGGCAACACCATGTTAGTAATGCAGAGATTCAGCATCGTGTGTTCGGGCGCAGAGACGGTAATGTAATTGGTGTCACCGTCCTGAAACACCGACTTCGATGGCTTGGACATGTTCTACGAATGTCGTCCCAGAGAATTCCACGTCGTGCATTATTTGCCGACGCTGGGACTGGTTGGAAGAAGCGGAGAGGTGGTCATTGTATGACATGGTGTCGTGGTATGAAAGAAAGCTGCAAAGGACTGGCTTGTGTTGGACCTTCACGACTGCCTGGTTGGGGTCCGAGAGATGGTGCAACACAGTGGCTAGAGACGTTATCAGATATGGCTCAGGATAGAAGCCAGTGGCGATCGTGCTGTAACCTTCTTTTACTTTCTTTATAAAAATGGTTGTTTCTTCCTTAACTGAGAGAATTCTTCCGGTTGTGCCTTTCCGTTTCCCCCATTATTATTATTACACCACCTAGCATTAATCTGTGGTTGTTGTTGTTGTTTTTTTTCTTTTTTTCTTATACGCACCTTACCTTTTCTTCCCTCGAATTCTCATCGTTTTGTGTGGCGCATATGTATTTGGTGACCTCTTGTAACAATATTTATGTGTTTAAATAGATAAAGCGTTTTGAAATATTTTCAAAGTATTCGATCACATAGGATTTACGGTAAATCGTGATATCTGTGGTGGATTAATTGCAAACTAACGGCTTCACATTTTGTTACAACATGTTTATTCAAACGACTTGCCCATTTTGTAGGTTACACTGGCTGAAATACGTAGTTTATACAACGGTCTGTTCCTTGTGAAATAATTCATGTATCTATCATTTCAGTTTTTTAAATAAAAAATACAATGAAGTTTGATAATGGAACATTTTTCCGAAAAGTAATATATTTGTAGTAGTACAACACTGAAATTCTCATATAACGTTCACTCATTGTCTAGATACAGTTGTTTAAAACTAACTTGTATCTTCCTAGTATATCATTCTTTTCCGATTTTTTTTTCTAACCAACAGTAGAATCGATCGCTTCTTCATCACGTTTTAGGGTTTTAACTTCTTTTTACATAGAAATTGATCAATAAGATTCATCCTCTCATTATGTATCTACATCAGCTACTTTATGAGCGTTTTTACGTTAGTTATAGCTTTTAGGTGTAAGTATGCATTGTTTTTCTGGGTTAATTATATCAGATGAGTTGTACACTAGAACACTAAATGTTGTGTTTGTCGTTATTCTATATTACAATCATCTTCTCGTAATTTTTACATTCAAAATCAATTTACTCATCTTTTTGTAGTTTATACAAACTCAAGTGGTGAGGTCCTCATGAATCTGGACATTTCTAATGCACATGAAAATCCAGGAGCGGACTCATATGTTCAACAAGTTTGTTCTGTTGTTATTAGCCAAGAAAATCCAATTACTTCTGAAGTACAAAGTGAACTTAAGGTTCGTATAATATAACTACAACTAATGCTTTAATCAAAATACTAGTATTGCTTGAATACATACTATATGACTTTTTTTTTGGTAAATGAGGATCGTTGAACTTAACACAATAGTACCAAGCGTAAATAACAGATCCCACTTAAAACAAAATTAAGTTGCAGAATAATTCTGACTGTTATGAAAGATTATTCGTAAGAGGTTGTTGACAAGTTAACTTTCATAGTTTCATTATAGCTACCATACGTAGTAACGAAATGACGTTTTCTAGTGTACCTTAGTAGCTCAGTACAGATTTGCGTTTGGTTTTAAATCACACTTTAGAAGACAGAATAATACTACGTATTTAGATAAACTGAGGTAAAGTGGTAGCATTTGTGGTAACGTTGAGTTCACTGCAGGAAAAGAGCAAAACTATAAAATGTCTTAATAAGTGTCACAGGTATTTCCTACAATTTCAAGGTGTGTGTGCAGAAAGGGGGAATACACCATTTAATTAGTTAATGGAAAGTCAGAATGGAGTAAGCTATTGGGGACGAAAAATAAATCCATTGAACTTCGATAACTTATTCGTTAGTTAACTGTAGGGGTCATAATTTTGCCATATGATTATCTTAACGTGACAATGTATTTCTTTTTCATCTGCTTCGTAAGCAGGCCTTATTGATGGACAAGTCAAACTCTATAGTAATAAACAGAAAAGCGACTAAAATGATAAAGCCTTCACGAAGTATGTTTTATGGTATAAATTTATTAATGTGTGGATGAAAAGGATTGAAAAATATTGGAAGTGGTTGTGGATTTCCACTAGGTGAAAAGTTTCCCACTGAACTGAATAAAACTCACCAAAGTTTGTCTTTCTAAAAGTATCTTAAGAAAACTGTTCTTTTATCGTTTTGCATTATGATAATGTTAGTTCGTTTGAATTCAATTCTGATACATTTTACTTGCCATTATACTATAACCAGTCATAAGTAATATATAATCTGACATGTGCATTGATTCATGTTGACACATCTTATCACAGTGACATGAAACGAATTAAAAAACCAACTTGTAAATGTAAATTTGGCGTATATTTTTGTTATAATTATCACTTTCTGTAGTAAAAAAGTTCCAAACTTCATCACTGAAATATGATGCCATCTCCCATGCTACTAATCTTATTTATCAATTTGAGTTTGATATCACGTTTAAGGATAGGTAGAGTCGTCATGTATGATAATGTAGTTTTCTAACTACAGTAAGTGTGTATGCTACGGACGAACATAAGTAATTAGACAGCACTTGTACTGATTGGTAAGTATCACATATCAAATAACATTGACAATGACTGTTTCGGTCCCTCAAGATCAAACTGATATAGCTCCTGAAGCCAAGCTAATCAGACGGATACGTTGTAAGGATTAAAAATAGTAAAACAATCCTCTAACTATTTACAAATTGCTGGAAAGTGTGCTAGGCTGAAATTTGATATAAAACTCAACTAACAGAAATCTATTATGTGTAGTCACTGTACTTTAGGCTTCAAAAGTATCATATGTGATTTCTCAATTCTTATCACCAATATATTCTGAAGCTCCAGTCTAGAGAAAAAAGCAGACAATAGGAATGAGATCGTATGTAAAATTAAATTTTTGTGCACGAAGGGGTTCATTTATATGGCTACAGACGACATTTTTGTTCTAAGAAGGTTTCCAAGATTAATAGCTTTTTATTTATTGGACTAAGAAAAAGTGAAGTCGTCACGAAGACAGTAGAATTTTCCACAAATGATGACTACTTTTAGCGTGTACTGGATATCTTTGTTACTCCAAAGATTTTGAGAAAACTTATTTCTAACAGTTGTGACAGTCGCTGAGGTAAATTAGTCAAGCTGTTCATACTAATGGACAACACTCATCTCTCTATATCCATCTGAAAATATTCTCATTTTGATTTTTTTAGGTATCTGAATCTATTTCTTCTGGTCCGGTGGGACGTTTCGAATGTAACTACTGCCATAAGAATTACTTTTCTGAATCCAATCTCCAACTTCATTTAGATGTTGCTCATCGTGGTAAGTAGTATTTGTTCACAATTTCATTGTTTAGTTCTATTTACTCAGTGTATTTGGTAGTCTCTACTTAACTCAAAAATGATTTCAAAATTTATAACTTCTGCGTGAATATATATGTGCTTGTTTTACTTTATTTATGGTTTTTTGTTGAATATAAATCCTTATCTACTAAACGAATAATAATAACATAGGTTTTCTTCATACGACTGATTGGTAATGTGAGTTCCTTAAAATCCTCTTTTGGAAATGAAATTGAACTATTTTCATAAAGGGTAGTAAAAAGACAAACGGAAAGCAATGATTGCCAGCTTCATTCCCAAAGCTGGGAATCGTGGTATAGCGTACTACGTGTTTTTGATATGGTTTGATGTTTTCAATTGATGTAATTTGACTTTCGTACATTATAAAACACAACCAACGGCCTACTAACATGTCTGGTTAAAAAGATGTAAATTAATTTTTCATCTTAAAATAGTTTGCCTGAGTTAAAAACTAAATTTCCAGTTGTTCATTGAGCGTGTAAATTAAGAAAGTACTTGTTCATTCATTTTATTCCATGAGGGCTTTTACTATCCTGGTTATAAGTTACTGTTTGTGGAGAAAGTTTTTAACTATGCTTTAGTCGTTGTCTTGATAGTTACTTAATGCTGCCTATTCATTCTTCTTTCAGTTTCTGGTTATTTTGCGTTTGTTCAATAATGTTTAAGTTTATGTTTGACAGTGATGTTAAGCTATTCTGTTCATTTTCTGATTGTATACTAAATTACCATATTTGAGAGGTTATATGCTTTCTATATAATAGTCTGTATCATTAGTTATAGTTAATACGATCGATAACCGTAGTTTATTTGTGTCCAACAGCTTTTGCGAGAAAGGTAAATTGTATGAGGAACTATAGTGTTAACAAATTTTTGTTTTTCCTTAATTCTATTTGTTCTATCATTCGTACGCCCTTGTTTTTGTTGTTGAACATGTATTATGTATGCTCACCCATCACCTACCTTAACATGCATTCCTGGAAGTTTTTGGAAGGTAGGTTGTTCAAAAGCTAATGGCTATCAAATAAATATGGGGAAACATTCGATGAAGTTACTGACTGTTGGTTTTAGTCTTCTCAGTAAATAAGGACCACCTGGTTGGGGTTGTAACCAAAGGTTGGAGGCATCGGGCAATACAGATTTAAATCGGCCTCATCAACATATGCATCTATTCTTTGTCAACTTTTAGATTCTGAGTTTCAACATTGTTTCATATATTTTATTCCGTGAACTCATTCTTTCTCGAACGGTGCTTTCCACCTCTAATATTTTTTATTCGTCTACTATCTTTTTATTCATTTTGTTAGTTTTAAGTCTGTGTTAATGTGTTGCGACAACTTAGGCCGATGGATATTTGCATCAGTTCCTACATTACCTACTACTGACTGATTATTGTGGATTGGGTTGGGTGTTCGCATTGAGATTTTATCGTTAACGATCATTCCATTGGCGGTGCTATTGGAGAAATGCTTCTAATGGAAGGGGGGATGGTTATATCGACTACGCTTTAGTGGATTAGGAACCCTTTTTATTATTCTGTGAAGCTTGCAAGAAGTAAAACAGATTTTATAACTTAAATAAAGTCGCAACCTTGTTTATTTGAAACTTAGATGTAAAAGGATCCATATAAAAAAATTTTCTCCAACAGAAGTATACTATATGAAGTAAATTGATTTGGTTCTGTCGAAACTTTAATCCCAAAAAACCATGTGGAAGGTTTGCATGTCACACTTTTCTAACATTTCCTATTGGGAGGACTCCCACAATCAACTGATTAACTAGTTATAATTGTATATACCTAAACATTTAACGTCACACCTATTTTTTCCTTTTCAAAATCTCAAATTATATTTTTGCTTTAGTATTTTAATTCACATGATTCTTGGTAAGAAAGCACTTAAAGGTGTATTTGAACGTAGTGGTTATTGGTTAGAATAACAGAGTAGTTGCTTTAGTGAACTTTACTCACTTACGTGTAGAAATCATCCAATTAGATAAATTTGATCCACAATAGTCATTTTTTTACTTTAGGAACGATGTATAATTAACATTGTTTTCTTAATCAATATAAGGTCAGTTTTTGTCTTCCAATCTGTTATCTAAAGTGATACGTCTTAAATTATTTTCGTTTAGGCTTTTCTATGTAATTTTTTCGTAACTAATATTTTTTTACAGTGATTTATAATTGGAATGACTGTGTTTGTGAATTATTTTATTTATCTATCACTGTCAATGCATTATGGTAATACTATGTGTTCAATCGTCAGTGGAAACAATGTTAATATTTGTTGTGTTCGAAAACTTAGTTGACAACTTCCTATTAACAACCTTCAACTAATTAATGCCAGACTGTGATAATAGTGGCCACACAACAGACTTGATCGGTTTATATTAGTTTCCAGTGAGAACCAGAAGGCTTAACATTAATTGAGCTTTCCTATGACTTACTGTACTTTTAGCCATTTCGGTTCTCTCCATTGTTTGTTGTTAGATTTAATGAGCCTATTCAAAACTCATCTAATGGCTCTTTGCTTACTGTGTAAGCTCATTCATTCATATTATCTAGATTTCGAGAATACAAGTTATCTCTTATTCATTTTCTTATTCTCTTCTAACATGAGTAATAAATAAATAAATTCTAGTAGATGTTGATCTTTTGGTAACTCCCAATACTTCCCAACCTCAGGAAACTTCACACAACTAAGCGTATTCAACTGAGCTATATCCGTTTTCCTAATTTTGAGGTCAAAATATGATCATAGTTCACAGCAAAGCACATAAATATTATTATAATAGTACCAGAGAATGTATATAAAAATGATGCACACGATTTCTAGCTAATAGTTCATAATTTTGTAAAAAATTATTGGTTTCAATCCCTTTGACGATATGCATTTTCGTGTTGTGTTTTATGTTCCTTGATCTATCACCCTACTTTGATGATACAGAGTGTCATTAGCAAATCAGATCATACTTCACCTTTCACATGTAGGTTTTTTCCCCTTAGAGTGATGTCTTGACTATAATAAGCTAACAAGTAGCAAATTATTGAGTTGTGCTGGCTTCTCACCGTTGAGAGTTGTATGCTCAAATCTCCTGCGTGTCTTCTGCTTTATGGTGTAGAGGTTAAATCTTTTCAAATTTGGGAGTCATATTTCACTTACATTGTGTTTGATAGTAACTCGATTACTTTTTGAACGTAAATATTATCGGACTGGTTTAAAATAGTTTAAGACATGGTATGATATATTCATATCACTATCAAAAACTTTGTTAAGTGGTTTGTTCTCCATAAACAATACTGTTTTAGTATAATTCATAATGACAGTTTTTTATCCCAGTTAGTAAACAACTTCATGTATCAAGAATTTGTAGTTTCATTGGAATTTCCGAAAGTTTACTAGACTCACCTAACGTGTCCGTACAAAATATTTAATGGCCAGAGTGACCAAAATCGTTTATTCACTTGAGTTTATGCGGCATAATTAATTTTATTCGCTTTCATAGCTTTTTAAGGTTTTTCAGATGCTTTTTTGAGATTTATTTAAAAAATATCCAGTTACTTCCTTCTGGGAGCTTATACATTTTGTCACAGTAACGTATCCTTGCTTCTACTAGAAATGCTCGCTCTAATACCACTACATAACCATGTAACTCATTTCTTTTACCCTGTAGTACCCATTATTTTCCTGCATAGTAACAATAGCAATATATATTTTTTAAGGGGATCGATTACTTTTTGGTGGAAATTTAAAGTTTTTATAAAGGTTTGTATTTAAATTGATGTTTATTTAGTAGTAGTTATGCTTTTCTGTTTGAAGTTATTTTTTCCCATCGTAATGAATAACTGTTCAATAATGCAAATAATGTACTTTAGAGAGAAGCACAGTTAGCTGTTAGCTGTTCATTATCATCATGATTCTTGCTATTCTGTAGACTATTTTCAATTTATGCTGTCGTATGCAAATGATTAGTGCGTATATAAATTGCATATACGATGCTTCGAAAGAAATGATATCATTAGCATATAAGAGAATTCTTTTGATTGCCTTATCCAGCGATGAAGCAATTACAACTAAATTTCAACATGTATAGTGAAATAAGTAAATGTTTGGTGAAAACGATTTCATTTATGTAATCTTTATTATTCTTCTTGGCTAGCAAATGAACATATTTGCAAAAGAAACTAAACGATTTGTTTGTTTATTAGATGATTATTCATGTGTCTTTTTCATCACCAGTCTCTATGTAAATTTGGATTAAGACGAGTTTTTTATTAATTGGTCGAAAATATGAGTCGTCAGTTTTATACTCAATTACGTACGAAGTTCTACGTTGTCACTGACTGACTGACTCAGTTACTTAAAGGCATTGTGCTCTCCAGGAAATAGGAAAGTCATGGGTTTTATTCTATGTTGTATTGTGGTGATACTACTAAGGGGACACAAACTAGGACGAAACAGCTATTCAATGACATTGGCTTCTCAATAGTTGTCTATGTTTTTGATGAAGATAATCTACAATACTAGAATAGTAGCATTTACTTAAGTTATAATTATCCTGTGAATTATGATTTCCTATTATTTTCCTTAAATTAGGGAATATAGTTTTTGTTTTAAATACCACTATTAAGGCATTAATCTAGCCTCTCAAGAACAGTCAATTTCCTCATACGTCTTTTTCAAATACGATTATTTCAAACAAAACAGTTTTAATGATCCAAATGGTACGTAAACTTACTGATATCAGGTGATTTTACATATAAAGGCGTTTGCCGTTAATTGAACATCACGATACTAATTATTTTGATGCTTCGTGAATAAAGTAATATTCAGACAGTCTCCATTCGTAACATGCATGTTGATTTTTCTGTAAATAAATATTAAGCTACATTTAATCTATTGCGAAGTCGAATTGTTATTGTTATCTACAGTAGCTATGTCTAAAACAAATGATGTATTG